CAGGAAACTTCCAGGCAGGGCTAGAGGGTATAAAAAGACCATCTGCCCATGTGCTCACTCTTTTTCCTCTCCTCTGCTGCTTCTTGCAAGACCATCTGTCTTCTGCAATAAACTGTAACCTTCTTCCCAAAGCAGTTGCCATGTTTGCTTATTTATTCCCGGCTTGGATGAACCAGGATGAAGACTTACTTCTAACAATGTACATCAAGGTTCTGTGTGGTTACACTGTGAATTCATGTTATTAAAAATTCTTAGAACCTCTTTCTTGGAACTAAAAGTTTCCAGTGTGATTTGCAAAAAAGGAAAAAAGGCAACTCCTTATACTTAGAATTAATATATATATATATAAAAAACAAAAACAAAATTGAAGGGGGCGGGCGGAGGGAGATGATGATGATGGTGGTAGATGCGGCGCCGCCTATGCCCGGATAGCAGGCGACGCCCGCGCGCAATGCTCAACCGCGGGTAACAAATTATGGTGCGGCGCCCGAACAAACCGCTTGATCGAACCCCCTCCCCGCCCTCCCGCGTTTGAACTAACTGGGCTTCGACTTCCACGCTTGCCGTCCGGAAGCCCGTCGAGCGGCAAGGGCCTTTGCATATACCGGTAAAGGAGGGTCAGAGAAGTTGCGTGTGCGTGTGTGTGTGTAGCTCGAACCTTCCAGCGGGACGGAGGGAGGCGTGCCGCGCCTGTGCGAGCGAGTCGTTTTGAGAAGTTGGCGGGTGGGCGTGTACGCGCAGGACTCCTCTCGGGAGGGAAGCGGCAGGTGGAAGGCGAGGGGCGAGGGGACGGCTGCTTTTCGGGAAAAAGACCGTAAAGGAGCCTCAGGCAACCGGCTGAACCGCTGCTCTCGGCGGCGGCAAGACAGAGGCGGGGAAGAGCGCCGGGGGCCGTCCCCACGTGGCGCTGACGCGGAGCCACTGAACCGCCGAGCCGATCGGGGGGCTATAAAGTGAACCGGGAGCCCGGAAGCCTGAGCTTCAGCCAGAGAGCGAGCACTGCCTTCCCGGCTATACCGTTTTAAACCCTGAGCTACGGACGCTCTTCCTTTAGCGGTAGTTGGCTATACCGGCGGTGGCGGCGGCGGCCGATTTAGCGTGTTTGGCGGAGCCCCTGGGCTGGCTTTTTCTTTCCTCCCGCGGCTTAGCAAGACCGGCGCCCTTCGTCGCCCCCATGCAGGAGCTGCTCCGCCGGGAGAAACGAGTCGTCCCCCTCTCCGCCGCCCGCCTCCCGCGGAGGTCTCCTCTCGCGGGGAGAAGGTAAGAAGCAACTTTGGACTCCCCGCTCCGCCTGCTGCGAATGGCCTCTTGAAAGGCGCCCCTCCCGCCTCGGCTGGACTTGTGAGGGGCGATCTGGGGGAAGTGGGGCAAGCCAGGAAGGAGAGACCCGCTCGCCCTGGCGGTCTGTCTGCTATGACTGAAGCGGAGGCGGGGGGCAGTTATGGAAGCTGAGCCAAGGCGCTTCTCTTGCTCCTGATTGGAACCGGAGCTTTCCGGGGGCTTCCGGTGCCTGCAGAAAGGGTCAGCCCCGCCGGGAGACAGGTGCGGGATCTCCTCCTCCTCCTCCTCTTCCTCCTCCTCGCAGGGTGTGCCTGTCTCAAGTGGCGTCCATGAAGCTGGGTTCATGTTGAAGCTGAAGAGCCCGTACCCAGAGCAAGGGGGATTCGCTTCCCTGGCCCACGTGCCCTCTTTCCAGCTGGAGCACAGCTACCCACAGCACATGGATGGCAATGGGAGTTTGAATGGCAGTGATGGCGGGCAGAAAGAGGGCCTTCCTTACCCCTTGCCCACTACCTTAGCCCTCATCTTCCTGGCCACGTTGCTGATGCTCTTCACCATTTTTGGCAATGTATTAGTTATCATTGCTGTCTTCACCAGCCGGATGCTGAGGGCCCCTCAGAACCTCTTTTTGGTTTCCTTGGCCTCAGCAGACATCCTGGTGGCCACCTTGGTCATTCCATTTTCTCTTGCCAACGAGGTGATGGGCCAGTGGTATTTTGGGAAGGTATGGTGTGAAATCTACCTGGCTTTGGATGTACTCTTCTGCACCTCTTCCATTGTGCATCTCTGCGCCATCAGCTTGGATCGCTACTGGTCCATTACGCAGGCCATTGAGTACAACCTCAAGCGCACACCACGCCGCATCAAAAGCATCATCT